TTTACCAATGTACAAACTCAGCCACTGGCCTCATCCAAAATGCTGGCAATCTGTACTATCTGCTAGGCTTCGCTGTCAATTCCCTGTGGCCGTAAAACTCCAAGTTCTCATAGAGTCTTCAAGAGCTTCTCTTTCAGAGGCGAGAAGCAAAGATCTAGAAACAATTTGGTATCCAATAATTTGCTCCCTTGCTTTATTTCTTCCCTGATGCTTATATGAATGTAGCTTTTTCTTCTTTTCTGTTTTAAATTTTTTAATTGAGGGCCAACTGCTTCAATATGTTGGGCACGTTCTCTGTTGAAACAAGGTTTCTTTGAACCTCAGATTTCTCAGCTGTAACCTGAGGGGTTTGGGTGTTCTGTTCCCAGTCTTTGTTTCAACTCTAAAAGTCTTTGGCTGATTGATATTAAATGAACTATTTCAGGATACTGAATCCCCTCATCTATCATTATATTGTATGAAAAATGTTGTGATTAATAATCAATGAATTGATTTGACTATAATTAGTGAATATCATCAAATTATAAGTGAAATACTTTGGTCTCATTTAGTGCTTTAAGTGAACTTACTAGTGACCTTACACAGAAATCTTGAAGCAACTACTCTCCGAAATACATGCGCAGATATCCAACCCCTCACGGACAAGGGAGGGTTTGGCGGCATGAGGGGCAGATTTTGTACTGTGGAGATGTGGTTACAAATATTGTTGCAACATGATAACTCTCACCCAGAAAACCCACCACACAGTCCAGAGCTAAGTCCCCACCCCTGTCCCGGGGTTCTAACTTGAGTTGACTCTACTTCAAAGGAAGAAGGAAAGCTTGTTTGGCCAAAAACTCATGGAGCATCGGTTTCAGGAATGTGACATGCTGTTAAACCACAGCCGTGTAAGCTTGCGGCCTCTGAGATTTTCCAAGGATGAAAGTTTCACTTTTCAAAGAAAAACATGGCACCATGTAAACTGGAGAAACATAAGGTAAATAGTGTCAGTTGGCCCCAGGAAGCTTTCTCCCCCAAAGAACACCTACTATGTGCAAATATATTCTGGGAGAGTGTGAGAGGTGTGCGAGTATGGGCTAAATTTACAAGATTAGGATGATATGACACACTTTCTGGCCTTGAGTAGCTTTTCAGAAGGCAAAGAAGACAGTTGGGATGATCAGAATGCAGAGTCCACACATGGCACTGTGGGAGTATTGGAGAACACAGGATGTAGTATTTCATTTCAAACATGAAAAATTTTAAATACTCCAAACTAGGCTGGAGTATTCACTGCATTTCAAAGTAAGGATAGGTAGCTGAGGAACTGAATTAATACAGAGTTAGCTTCAGAGCTTCGCAATATTTTAACTTTGAAAGAGAAGCAAGAGTGCCATTTAATCCACCTTCACCCTTGGCGTCACAATCGTATGATGGCTTGCTTACTTACCCAGCCTCGGCTTAGACATCTCTGTTGACAGGGAGCTTGAGCTCTCACAAGGCGGCCTGTTTCACGACCGAAGGGCTCCCTACGTGGTGTTGACTCCTCCCTTCTTCTGCCTTGCCCACCTAAGTATGTGGTCTGTTCTTCAGAGCAGGACTGGACCTGTATTTACAGCCGCATTTGAATTGTTTGAAGAAGACATCACAACCATTCTAAACAGCTTTTGTTCCTCCCACAAGTGCTTTTGTAGGATGGCTCCAGGACTTTGCTAAGGCATTCTGAACACTGACGAGGTTGCCCATGTTCTCCAAAAGCTGAAATCACTGCCCCCTCAACACATAATGATTTTCTAGGTAGCGTGAGAGCAGTGATGGTAATCCTTGCAGAGCTTTCAATGTTAACCAACAGCCCACAGCAGCATGTGTGCGTAGGTTCCAGATCAGACCATGGGCAGCCTACGAACAAATGCTGCCCCTAGAGACCACACAAGACTGGTAGGTAGCTGGTTCCGGAACTGAAAGATGGTCTAGATCAACCCAGCCCCGAGCAACTCCTTCCAAAGGAGGCTGGCAGTCTTGGGAGGCCTTTGGTGGAGTACTTGCTAAACTGTGGGTGTTCTGCAGCCTCTTCCTGTCTGGGACCTAAGCTACTGGGGGCCAAAATATGTGGACACTGCATTTCATGGACACTGGTGGAAAAATCACTAGACCCTGAGGCTGGCATAGAAGGGGAAAGCCCGCCCCCTTGTGGACTACTGGGGCATGGCAAGGTACAAAAAGCAGTGAAACCACCCAGAAGGGTCTGAAAGGAGCAGCCATTTCGTCTCCACTCCCATTTCACTTCTGGTGGCCTGCAAAAAAATTGAGCTGCACGGGGCAGAGTTGAGGAGGAGTTGGGCAGGAGACATAAAGTGAGTTGCAGAACCCTGAGTTTGGTGTTCGGCTACAAAAGTTGGAAAAATGTCAGGCAAGTGATGTTAGCTGTTTTTAAAAAAGAAAGAAAGGGCTGGGTGTGACACATGCTACTCAGGGGGCTAGGGCAGCAGGGTGACAAAGGTAAGCCAAGCTTGGGCAATTTAGAGAGGCACTGGCTCAAAATTAAAATACAACTTAAAAATAAAACGGACTGGGAATGTAGCTCAGGGTGAAGGCCTTCAGTTCAGTCCCCAGTACCATCAAATGAATAAATATACAAATATATAAATACTACAGTTTTGTAAAAGAAAAAAAAAAACAAAAAAACAAGCATCAGGAGATCTTTTCTGGCTCCACCACCTGCTGTGTGGCTCCAGGCAAATCCCAGTCTACCTCTGGGCTCCCAAGGAATGCCGGAGCATGAGGCTTTGACATCTGTGTCTCAGGGTGGTCTGTCATGGGTGGTGCCACACCCCTGACTGCAGACAAGAGAGCAAGAGAGGAGACCAGAGCAAAGGGCACAGTGTGCACAGAGGTCCCACCTGCCAGGTCTGCCAGCTGTGACTCACAGCCTAGGCAGCACAGCCATCACTGTGCAGATGCCTGGGAACCCTAAAGGGTCATTTCCCTGAGCTGAGCCCCCATTCCTCGTTTTAGACAAGTCTACAACATTTGTCCGTCACATGGACACTGGCCCAGAGGTACCTATGTCATAAAATATGCTTGCCTGGGATGTGACCCAGATTAATTTTATTTTCAATCCAACAACCCCCAAATGTCCAGTTAGAGTCACACTCTTGAATTTCTAAACTGTCTTCATTCAGCCCTCAGCACATCATCAAAGACTGTGGTTGTAACATATTTTTTTTTCTTTTAGGTAAATTCTGTACAACTCTGTAACTGATCAGTATAATGAGCTAAAAGTAATCCTGTGAAAGGCAAACCAGAAGTACTTTCCTCAAAGTTTTCCAGATAAAAAATGAGGTATATTTTAAAAATCGAATTATATATTAAATCTATCAAATTTTTACTACATTAGGCTTATAATGTACAGGACCATGTAGTTACCAAAGATATTGTTGAAGGCAAACTATCCTCCAGTAAAATGAAAAATGTTGAAACATTTTTAAAATGATCTTGTAAAAATTGTCTGAAATAATGGCATCCTTAGGCTCGTGTGCTTCTAGCTGAAAGATTTGGGGTAAATGTGTGGGGCAGACGGGTCATCTTTGTCCACTACAGGATGCTAAAACCTCAGCTGGAACTGTGAATGCCTGCTTCACTGTTTAAATGCCTTATAAGGTTATAATAAGATATTAGAAGTTATTATGAAAACACTCAAAATCAGAGGGTTCCAACAATAAGTACAGCCCACGTTCCACCTACATACTAAACTCAGGTAAAGCATACAACCCTAATTGTAGACAGAACCCCATTTAAACACCCATTTAGACCACCCAGTTTCTGTGGCATTGCCAAATTCTAAAGTTGTAATGAAAATTTTAAAGTTCAAAACCTACAAGCCATCAGAGGTTCAGTAAGCAGACTGTGCCATTTCAAAATGGAAAATGTGCTTGCATAAGCAAGTCACCACAGCTAACCTTTCTGGAGTGAGTCTGGCCTTCAGTTCAGAACATGGTCATGTCAGGGTCAGAAATGTGACAAAACTGCTCTTTCCCGGAGGTTAGCCAAGGTTCACAGGGTCGCGACTGGGCCATTTTATCAGTCATGTCAGGCTCACACCCTATTGCCTGGGATAGATAAAAACTTTATCTGTCAGTTTGCTAAATCTGCATCTCCTGCCTCATTTTGAATAAAGAAACCGGGGCTCAGCTTATCTAAACCAGAGACTTGCCTTTCTCAGCACTGTTTTCACATGCAACTTCTAAGAAAGGGTGACATGTCAGTGATTTTTGGTCTCATTTTAGTCAAGAACTGTCCAGAAGTAGAATGACTGGCTTTGTCTTGTCGTGAAAGAATAGCCCTAACTCTGGAGAGCAATTCTGATTCTATTGGACCATATGGATTTTTAAAATTAAATATTAGATACACTGAAAGTGTTATATTAGAATGATAGTTCTCAGCCAGCATGTAACATTTTCAGAATGGTTTTTCTCTAAAATGAAACAAAACAAAAACACTAAAATGTCTCTAGTTTTGATCCTCAGAACCACCAAAGAATTTTAAGTTTAATTAAATCAATTTTAATTTTATTTATTTATTTATTTATTTTGGTACCAGGAACTGAACTCACAACCTGGCGCCTGCCAGGCAGGTGCTTATGGCGCTGAGCTAAATCCCATGTCCTTAATTTTAATTGCTTTAAAATTAAAACTACTCACATAGTACATGTGAGGCCCTGTACTTGCTACCAGATGTGAGCCCAGCACTACAAAAATAAAATTTAACTAAACTAACCTGGACAGATTTTTTTTACAGTTAGAGAATCTAAATTACCTTTAAAAAATTTACAGACACACTTTTGGACTAACAGGCACACATAATTATTGAAAGAAAAAAAATTGAAGTTTCTTCTTTAAGGAAAATAGGTCTGCACAGATGGCAAATAAACCCAGATAGACATTTGGCCATCTGGGTCCATATACTAAGTAGGAGCTTAAAACAGTGGATTTTCCCTAAAAGGAATCTTAAATGCAAGAAAAGAACTTTCAAATTTTACTTTATTTGCAATTATACAAATTAATTATTTTAACCTTTACTATAGTAGAGACACATAAATATAATATACATTTAGGAATTAAATATAATAAGTCAATATGACACTATATAAAAACTCATTCATGCCCATCAGATTTCTCCTTGGAAACGGATGAACCTTGTAGGGAGATTGTCCACAGGATACACAGTGGGGCTGGTTTTCATTGTAGGAGGTCCATTTAGAAGCTGCCAGTCACAATGCCTGGCCAGGTCTACTGTAAATATTTTGAGAAGAATTTTTGCGAACTCTTTGCCTACACAGCTCCTAAGGCCTCCTCCAAATGGAATGAAGCTGAACCTGGATGCATCCTCTGGGTGAGGTGGCATAAATCGATCAGGATTAAATTCCTCCTTGTTAGTGAAGATGTCTGCTACATCATGAGTATCACAAATACTGTAGATAACATTCCAGCCCTTGGGAATTTGGTATCCCTGTAAAAGATGAGGAAGTTCCAAGAGTTGACACACTGGAATTTAGCTTTCATCCACAAAAAGCTATCACAGGTATCCTTGGGAGGTACTATGAGTTAAAAAAGAGGAAGGGAGACAGGGATTCATTTAGGCTACTGAAATGACTCCACATAGTGCAGACAATGTCATCAAAACATGAGGAATTTAAATTAGGGCCCAAGGAAACAAGAATAGGTTTTAAACTATAAGAGCAGAATGAGAAGGCCAAGTTGGGAGAACTCTTAACTTACATTTAATTCAAAAGTCTTTAGAGCAACTCGAAACCCTCCTGGAACTGGGGGGTTCAGGCGGAGGGTCTCCTTAATAACACACCCAATGTATTTCAGTTGCTCCAAAATTTCCATGTCCAACTTGTTGTCCTGATTGCTCTTGCAAAGTAAGCCCTGTCAAAACAGTCATACAGAGGTGAATGATTATTTTCTGATCCAGTAAAATCAGTTCAGCAGACATAAACAGGATGAAATTCAAAGAGCCAAAAAAAAAAAAAAAAAAAAAAGAAAGAAAGAAATTCAAAGGGCCTCACAATGGGACAATGTGAGGGAGAAACAATAGCTAATGACCATTTGCACCCACATTCACTGTTTACAATTCCAAGAGAATGCTGCTTACCAGATAGAAGGGTCAAACTCTCCCACTCAAACACACTCACCACCACTCCCCACCTTAATCAGTTATTTGTACAGATCACACTATTCTTGCCCTTGAACACCCAAATCCAAGGAAATGGAATTTATCTGCAAAAGGTGGAAGATGGTCAAAAATACAAGGTCACACCTTGCCCAAGTAAGATCAAGCTCAAGATTCCACGCGTTTCAATTCACAAAGCTGATCTCTCCTCACTGGCCCATTCACCTTGACCCTGCACTTTAAAACTATTCAGCTTACATACTCGCTGGGCAGTTGGTGAGAGAGTAGCTGAATTTCTAAGCTAATAGGGAACCCCTACCTTACTCTTCAGCTCCGCTCGAACCTTCTGGAGAACATGTGGGTAGAGCCCCAGGTAAGTGATCAGAGATGTGGCTGCACTGGCTGTAGTTTCATGTCCTCCAAAAAGAAGTTCGGTTGAGGATTGCTTCAGCGCCTAAGAATGCAGTAACAACATTTCACAGCTCTGTGGGCCAGGGATGCAGCTCCGGAGCAGAGACTTGCTTGGCATATGCAAGGCCCCGGTTCAACCCCCCGCACTCCGGAGGGGGGGAAATCTGCATGCAGTTTTCACAGGGATTACTGAGAACCGAGCTGTGGATTACTGGAGGGAAGGCTAGAAAGGCTAAAGGTTTTGCTGATAGAAAACCAAGGAACTCAACATCATTAAACAAAGTGCACGGTCTAGTTCTGCTGGAGACAGAGGCTAGTAAGATCCCGCTCTTTGGAACCTCCTGAGGCAAAGCCTTGGCTTAAAAGATCGCCAGAGGTTCTTAGCTAACTTTTCGCAAATTCCGCCTTTCCCTTAGAAACCTGGAGAGACTAGGCAACATTCCTATTTCCACTACAGCCTCTTCTAAAGTTTTCCAGACTGAATGTCAACCTTTGGGATCACTAGCACAGGTTCTCACTGAGAAGCTGGACCCCAGGAAAAGCAGGGAGCCAACCAAGAGCGCTTCTGTTTGAGGCCACCACTCACCTGCATGTCCAGCCGCTCTCCTCTGTCCCAAGAGTGCTCAATCAACAGCTGCAGAGCGTCTTTGCAAATGCCTCCTGTCTCCCCAGCCCGCAACCTGCAGATCTTGGCGCGAATGTTCTCCTCGATGCGCGCGTGAATGAGATTCCGCGCCTTTACGCCCTGAGCGCAGAGCGTGGGCGACAGTAAGCCCGCACTGCCGGGCCCCAAGCCTTGCACCCTGAGCGGTGCATCCCTAGATCCTCACCCAGGCTGCCACTCTTACCCGGTATAGCCCACTGAAAGGCACGTCGATGGGCAGCGAGAAAAGATTGCGGGTCATCTCCTCAAAGGCCTCCACTAGCTGCTGCTCGTCCTCCTCGCCACCTGCGGGCCGAGGTTCACAGCCTAGCAGGATCCGCATGGCGATGCGGAACATGAGGCGCTTCACTTCAGGGTAGACCAGGAGGCCACGCTCGCCGCAACTCAGCCATTGCTCCAAGCAACTGTTCACTTCTTCAGTGATCACTGGCACGTAGCACTGGAGCGCCTCGCGGCTGAAGGCCCGCATAATCACCTGAAACCCGAGGAGCAGAGAGCTTTAAAGTTCTCTTTGCCCCTCTCCCCTTCCTGGGCACCTCTTTCAACCTCAGCCCCTCCAGTCCCAACGCACATCAGGGCTGGTAACGCTGGAGTCAGGAGAGGTTTCCGAGCCACATTTTACACTGCTAGTGCTGCCTAGCATCTATCTGCCCCCCAATGAATGGGGTTTCCCCTCCCTGCCCAGGCGTCGCCACCCCGCCCTCACCTTCTTGCGCTGCTTGTGTGACGAATCGTGTAGGTTGGAGAGGCAGCCAGAGCCCAGGATGGTTCGCACGGACGCAGGCCAGTGGACCGACACGAGCCGATGCTCTCCAAGTAAGATGCGACGTACATTGTCTGCACCCATCACCCTCACCGTGGGCCGCCCAAACAGATGTGTCTTGTAAATGAAGCCGTATTTCCTGCGCTTCATCAGCAGGAACTTCCTCCGCTGTGAGGAAGGTGGAGGAAAGAGGCGGGCGTGAGGGGGCGCCGAGGAGCGTTGCGCCTCCAGCTAGCCTTGCTTCTAGCCGCAGTCGCTCGCCCCACCAGGACGCCTACCTCAGTCATCAACAGAGGCGGAACCAGGCTCCGGAAAGGTGTCCTGTCCCGCCCCAGGCTCCCTTACCTGCAGCACCATCTGCAATGTTTCCCCAAAGAAAGGGAAACCCATAGTCCCGGGGGGTAAGGGAAGAGCGCAGCTGCGGTCGCGGCTGCTCGTACAGTATAAGTCCCACAGTTTGACTGCAGCCAGGAAAAGCAGCAGCGGCAGCACGAAAGTGCAGAGCGCACTGGCCAGCAGCGCTGGGAGCCCCATGGCACGCTGCGCCTGCCACGCCACCTGCTGCCGCCTCTGGCGCTCCAAACCCCGCCGCGCACCCCCTTTATAGGCCTACCAGGTTCCTGCCCACGTTACCTTGTTCAATTAGTTCACTCAAAGTTCATCTTTAATTGCGGATTGGGCCCCTGGCTCCTCCCCCCGCGAGGCGCTGCCCAAAATGTTTAACCGTTTGTTCCGCGCCCAGGCAGAGGCGGCGCAGCGGCAGCTTCCCTTGGAGCGCGCCTCCTGGGGTGCGGGGCAGGAGCACCGCCTCTCTCATCCAAGGTGAGCACGCCTCCCAGGGAGTAGAGAGATGGGGGCCTGGGGGTGGGGCGGGAACTCTGAGCCCTAGGCTTTCAGACTGTCCCTTTGAACTCCCTCCCGTCAGGTCCCACAGGCCACCCTGACCCAAAGCCGCCCTCGCCGCCTTCCCATCCGCTGGGGAGGCAAGGAAAGTGTTCAGGAATCATCATCCCGTGGAGCAAGCCGCAGGTTCCCGAGTCTTCCAAAAGACCCCAAGAGAGTCCTGGGCCATGATCCAAGCAAGAGATGGGGATTCCAGCTCACCACCACCTCCACTCACCGCAAGGAAACCACCACTCAAGTGTTTCAAGATCCCACATAAGGTGCAAGTAAACCTTCGGGTCCATCGGGACCGTGGGTGCCACTCTACAGAAACTTGATCCCCTATTCTGACGCCCCAGTGACAGACCCAATGGGCAATTTATCTGTGAGGAGAGATCTCAGGCTGTGTGATGTGGCCAAGTTCGGCGCTATTTCAGTGGCCCTGGGGCTCGCAGCCACCACCTAGGCAGCAGGAAATGGGTCCTTTGCCCTGGCAAAATAAGGAGTCGTCGGAGACAGAGGCAGGAAAGCCCGGAAGTCCTGGCTCCATATCTGTTTCCTGACCTTGAGCAAGTCATCACGACGCATCCTCCTGTCTGTTCACTCACCCCTCGGATAGAAGCGGTATGCTCAAAGTCTACACCTCCCAAAAGGAGGCCTCTTTCCAGCTCCCGGCTCCGTGCTTACCAGACTGCATTATGGGGTGGACGCCGGGCTTCCCCCTCTCCCAAGCTCGCCAGCATAAAGCCGACGTCCTCACCACGGTGAGAGCTTCTTAGCCTAAATCCAGGATTCTGCTAGCCGCTAACTGGAGGGAATTCGTACTGGGAAACGCGTTCTCGGACTTTGCCCAACTTCAATTAGCAGCTCCTCTGGCCAGTACCTGAGCTCGAACACTGCAGGGTGCGCACGTGAGCTCTGGACTTTCCATCTGGCCAGGCCACACTGCTTAGGACCAGTCAGGGACTCTGAGGTTTGGGCACTCAACGCAGCAGGGAGCCAGGAAACGAAACCGCACGGTACATCAGTTTAGAACTGTACGCTGGCTCCCGGAGAAGCACACGTCCATGCGCCTTGGAAAGCGTTCCCTTGATCCTGAGAAATGTTAAGGACGTAGCCCACCTGCGTGGCCCCCAAACTTGGAGGGTCCTAAGAACCTGCCGGTTCCAGCAATGCTCCGAGCGGGGTATTACCCTGGGTGTGTTTCCCTGTCTAGCGTTTCAGCTGTGAAGAGGCTCGCATTGCTGTTTCTTTTGTTTAGGGACTGTAAGCGGTGAGCCGGCTTCAGAGCCGCAGTAGCTGGAACCCCGGCAAACCGCGCTAGAGGTAATTCTCAGAAATCTGGTGCCCGCCCCTTCCTAGAGGACTTCTGCTGCGGTGCAAAGCTGGCGAGCGTGGGGCGTGACCTGAGGCCCATTTCCAAGCGCGGCCTGACCCGCCTGTGACCCCTGCAGGCCGGACCCTGACATCTGACTGAACCCTGCATGCCAAGTTCAGTGCGCGGCCGCAAGATGAGTGCCCTGGAAGTTGCCACAGAAGAAAAAAAATTTTAAATATAATCTATCTGCCCATCGCGACTCACGGGAGCGCCTGGCATGAAAAAAATTATATGAGAGTGCAAGATCATTAACGAACCTCTCAAAGAGGGGAGTAAGAATCAATAAATTACCAACCCAATAAGACTTTAATCTAGAAACCTAACCAGGAACTCCTGGTTAAGATGGGCTATGGTGGTGGGGTGGCTGGGAAACAAAATTTTTCCAAAATATTTATAGAACAGCCTTCCTATTTCAAAGCCCCCCCCACACACACACACTTAATGGGTCTGACATTTCATACCTGCTGTTTTATCTGCTTGGAGGCCTCACTCCAGACCCCCAGTGACTGTTACTTCCAAAATCACATGTTGCCTCCTCTGAGATCTTCCCACACACATACGGTGGAATTTAGTCCAGAGCACTCCCTACTAACAAGGCTGTTGTATTTTCTTTAAAGCATTCATTGCCACTGGACAGATTCTTGTTCCTTTTTGTTTTCTAATCTACTTATTGACTGTGTCCATGAGCATATCAAACCCAGGAGGGTAAATCAAGTCTAGAAAGCCAAAGAACCATGTCTACTCCTTCCGCTGACAACACAGAGCCGGTAAAACCCATGTAGTAGCAATGACTAATTAGACTAAAACTGTGGTGACCACAGACTTCCAGTTAGGCCAGACCCCAAAACAAGTAAACTAAGTCCTTTGGGACCATCTTAGCTATCCTAGCTTCTGACAGGCCCCTCTTCATATTTCTATTCTCTCTCTAAATCAGAATTTAGCCTCTTTTCCCAGACCCATACTTTTTAGACCAGGGTCAGTGTTTTCAAAAGCACCCTGAGGGTGGTCCTGCCTCTGTGTGGAGTTTAAGGCCTGGACCTGTGAGGGCTCTGGGTGATGAACTGCCCTGTGCTGGGGTTAAGGTGGTGTCAGCTTGGCTCAGAGAGTCCATGGTGCTCTTGAGCCTGCGGTGTGCCTTTTCCCTTTGTGCCCCTGGATCCACCTTAAGCATAAGGTCAGGAGGGCATTGGTTTCCTTATGGTTCACTAAGCTGGTCAGCTCAGGCCTGGGCTCTGGGTGGCAACTTTCTTGGCTCCATACCTGCCCAGGCCTGTAGGAAGATGGGTGTCAGGTTGAAGTAGGCTGTTGGGAATGATGGCATAGAGGCCCTTGACTTTGATTTAAAGTGGTGGGAACTCCTGGTTAAGATGGGGCAGACAGTAGTAGTTAGGTCAGGTTAGGGTTACCAATGAAAAAACCAAAGGGCTGCACCCTACATGAGCACCAGTCCAGAGGACAGAGCAGATAGGATAAATGATGGGGGGAGGGGGACGGGATGCTGTCCAGCAAGTCCACTGCTGGCTCTTCAAGCATCAGTCTCTCTGCTTCTCAGTTTTTCTGCATAGGATACTGAAACAATAAACTGGGAAGTTTCTGTAGCAAGCTCCCCCTGGATAATTCAAAGCTGAGTTTCTGGGACCACCTTTAGGAGGGAAGTCAGGACAGTTTGGATACAGGGATCCAAGCTTCTAGTCTCTCTTGATATGCACTAGGGTGGGTCCTTCAGGTAGATCCTTCCTGGGCCTCCCCTGCCCACCATCTGCACCTTCCCACCAGGGAACAGCTGCACAACTAAGCCCCAACCTCCTTGCTCAATCGCTGGCAAGAAACTTTATTTCTTGGCCTTCCTGTTTTTGGTACAAATATCCCAAACCTCTCTGATTATATCTCAACCTCTCATAAGGGATTATAGCACAACATCCCATGAACCAGCCTTAGAGACATCTCTGTGTATCTATTCTTTCCTGTATAAATGGGGAGATTAAATGCGTTCTTGAAGGAGGAATTTTTCTTTTAAGAAATCTCCAGCAGATCCGGTGATGTTGAGCCATTTAGAGTCCTGGCAGCCTATGCAGTTCTAAGTTTCCGCCAAGATGGGAGAATGGCCAAAGCTTAGCAAGCCAGAGGCCAGCTGCCTGGGGCTCTCTGTTGATCTCCCTCTTGGTTGTGTCTTCCTATTGTCCATTATCAGGCCAGGGACAGCTCCCAGTATCCCGCTTCCTCCAAAGGTTTGCTCTAGGTCTGGCACTAGCTACACACACCACTCCCATCCCACCACCGCCACCACCTGCCCGCCCAACCATGTGTCTAGGATCTATGAAACCTCTCCCCACCTTGCCCCACTGCTGCCAGAAGGTGAATTGGAGCAGTCGGTTCTCTCCATCTCTGCTTTGAGATCTCAGGATGGGTTTAAGAGGTTTGACCCACATCTTGCATTTCTCCTGGCTCAGGGTGCAAGCAGCACCTTCCCACTGACCAGAGAGCTTGTCTTGTTCCATGACTGTAGCTTGCTTGTCCTCCAGCATCAAACTGCTTTCGATTAAGGTTTATTGAAAAACTGAACCACCAAACGAGCGTGTCCCTTGCAGTCACTGGGCGAGTCTTGAAGTGCTGCACAGGTCAGAGCTGTACCCCATTTTCCATGGCTGCAGGTACAAGCGGGTGGAAAAAGAGCCGCAACCCGTCCACTGGGTGGACAATGGGCACTGTTTGCATGGCCGGGAAGGCGGGTGTAGCCAGCTCCCAGCGCGCGGTGCGTACCAGCTCCACAGCTAGCAGTTGCAGCACTGCTTGTGCCAGTTCCTGGCCAAGACAGCTACGCGCCCCGCCGCCAAACGGGATGTAATGGAAGCGACTGGAAGTGCCCGGTTCTTCACGCGCTGCGCCAAAGCGCTCCGGGTCAAAGCCTTTGGGCGGGCTACTGTACCAAGTGGCCATCTCATGAGTGTCCCGGATGCTATACATCACGCTCCAACCTTTGGGGATCTGGTAACCCTGCAAGGAAGCAAGGGAACCAGCCTATGAGACACCTGGAGACGACCCGAACTGACGGCCCACCACCCGGGATCCCCCAAACGGGCATGCAAAAGCCGGCAGGAACTCATGATCAACCCAAAAGCCAGGAGAACCATCCAGCATTCAAATGTCAGCGTCTTCACTGGTTAACCGTATGCCTTAGGCTTGATGATCAATTTTTCTGAGCCTCAGTTCTTAATTGATAAAATATTGAATCAGCTGTGGTGTCAAACACCTGTAGTTCAAGCTGAGAGTCCCAAATTCGAAGCCAGCTGGGTCAACTTTGTGCAACTCTGTCTCCAGTACCAAAAGAGGGAAAAATTCACTTTGTTGTGAGAATTGAAAAAAGTGTCTGGCACATATTAGTGTTCAGTAAACAGCATCTAATTTTTTAAATGTTTTTTCTTTTGACGTTAAGTCAAGAAACCTATATTCTATTTTGCACTTATCAGGTGCCTGAGATGACCAGGTGACCAGAACCCCCATTCCTCCAAGTCAATTCCTTTATAAATTTGTCTGTCCTTCTAATTCATCAGCCGAACAATAATGTTCAAACGTGGTGACCCACTAAGAAGACCATGAGATACTAGCAAGTCCTTAAGACTGCTGCCTGTGTTAATGTCCCTAAGTTGTAAGGCAGTGTCCAGCTTGCTTTTGCTCATCTCCAGCTTTTCCAAGCATTCTGCTCCATCCCACTCCCTTTAGTGCTAGGGCTTCACACACGCCAGGCGAGCGCTCTGCCACTGAGCTGCAGCCTCAGCCCACCCAACTCTGTGTGCATGCATTTGTGCACGCCTGTGTGCGTGTTCCAACCCTTTGATCATCCGGCTGCCCTCACCTCAGAAGCTTTCAGATTTCCAAAGCCTCTCTGGTGACTTCCTGATGGGTGGAGGTTCCTCCTCAGATTCTCACTGAGGGGACAGAGTACAGTGTCTTGGAATCCCCCAGGAGGTTTTCTCTGCTGTAGTCCTCAGTTTCTTGATCTGTACACTGGAGGACAGCTAAGACCTTTTCCTGTTCTATGTCTACCCTCCTTTCTAATCCTCCCTGGTCCTCTTTTCTCTCCCCTTGTTTCCCTAGGCCGGGTCTCAGTAGGGCATGCCCACACACGCACAATGAAATATGATTTCCAAGATTTGGCGTCGGAGATTCATCTAAACATCCACCTTTGTCTGGGCTGTTTCCTCTCTCTGGTGTGCTCTTCTCACTCTAATCCTTCACTGTTCCAGTTCAGATGCCAGTTCTGAAATTGTTTTGGTGTCACCCAGTACTAAAAATCACACTATTTGCTCCACCATTTTTGATGGGGATGTGGGTCCTGGTTTCCAGCTTCTCCTCAGGGTCCTGGGCAGAATTCCAGTCCCCCATCCCCATCGGGCAGCTCATGGCACTGTGTAAGGAGATGCCCACTCTTTGCCTGGAGCCACCAAGCTGAGAGGCTCAGTGCTCAGACGACTGCAGTGACACCCTTTCAGGCAATGCCCTCAGCTTGGCTGTGCTAAAACCCCAGTGCTGCCATTTCTCTGTATAGCCCCATGTGGTGTCTCAGAGCTGGAAAGCTTTTTCCAGAGAGGAACCTGAGGCCCAATGTGAAGATGGAACTCTCCAAAGTTGTTCAGGGATGGGGGATCAGATCTGGCCCTTTACTTTGCCCAGCCTGGGGCAGCCTGATGAAATCACTTAGATTTTACTTGTATTTTAAATGCCGTGCTTCCTTGGAAATCAGCTTTAGGTGATGAGGAGTGGGGTACAGCTTTTATACCCTACTCACTTACTGGCTGGGGGGGGTGCTGTTTAGCAAAAAGTATGTTTGTATTTTTAAAACTCATCTCTAATTGAGTTGTCCATAGAATGCCGCAAATCTGAAGTCTACAAAATTCCTAGCCTTGCCTGCTCACTGGGCGCCAGGTTTTGCACACGACTCCCAGAGATCCAGAAAGTGGGAAAGGAAGAGGGACACGCGCTTGTCTCCACGCCCTTCTCCCACCCAGCACCGCCGTGGGGCTGTGGGCAGCCGAGGGGGCGCGGTGCGCAGGAAGGCGCACTTACGTCGAGTTCGAAAGTTCGCAGCGCTGTGCGGTAGCCACCCGACACCGGCGGCAGGAGGCGCAGCACCTCTTTCACCACGCAGTCCACGTAGCGCAGACGGCCCAGGGAAGCTAGCGTGAGGTCGGGCTGGCAGCTGCATTCCAGCTGGGGCCCCGCTGCCCCAGGCCAGCAGCTACAAGCGCGCCCCAGCCCCTGCGCCGCCAGCTCCTGCTGGATCTTGGCAATGGCTGCAGGGTTCTGTAGTAGCAGCAGGATTAGGGACGTACTGGCACTGGCCAAGGTGAAGAAGGAGGCGAAGAGGAGCTCCACAGCTGACTCCTACAAGAGAGCCGGCTGAGTCTCAGTCACTGCCCCACCGCAGAGCGCAGTTACTACTGCCCTAAGGCGAGTGAGCGGGATATGCTATCGTGGCATCTATGAGTGTGGATTCTGGACTCATGGAACTAAATTCCAACGGTCACTTGAGAAAGTCACATAGAGCAACAGGCAATATTAAGATTTATCCACCTGCTTGGGGGGAATTTCTAGAGATAATGGTAGGAACTTACTCTGTGCATTATACTTAACGCTTTAAGTGTGATTTCTTATTAGAGCCTCAGCCTAATCCTTGAGGCACAATTATTCCCCCCTTTTTCTTACAGGGTTGGAAACCGAGGCTCGGAGAGGTGCTCAGGGTCTGGACAGCTAGAGTCCTAGCAGCCAGGTTCGGGTGTCTGGTGCTCCTAGTGGTGTTGCAGTGAAGAGACCAAACCAAACACCTGCAGCCACAGCGCCAGCCTCACATCAGTGCCCGCCTCTGCCTTTGTCATCTTGCTTACTGCAGTGGTCTCAGTACATCTGTAAAGCTTTTCCTGGTCTGCTGTGCCCAAGAAGGGACACTGTCCATTCTTTGTCCAAGAAGGACGTCCTCACTGCCTGCCTCTTGTCCAGTGTCTTCCTTCCTTCCAGCACTGGTGCTTGTGTTTATTCTCTAATTCCTGAGTTTCTGGGGTGAATATATATCTTCCCCTTCTGCACCTGGACAGCAGGGTCACTTGCTCATCACCCACTGCAGCATAGTATCTGATACTGAATAAGTACCTAATGAAACTTGTGGGGCTGGGGATTTAGCTCAGCGGCATAAGCACCTGCCTTACAAGCAGGAGGTCGTGAATTCGATCCCCGGTACTGATAAAAAGGAAAAAGAAAAAAAATGTAAAAAAAAAAAAAAAAAAAGAAACTTGTGGAAGAAACATAAAATCCTTATGGGAAGCAAACTGTCAGCCCTGCCTTGGCCAAGGGGGGAAACTGGGATGGGAACTTCAGAGCCCACATCCTCCCTGCCCAGCTTAGTCTCCCTCGATGTCCAGGCCATTATGGAAGATTTCTGACAAGTGAGTTTCTCCGTGAGAGTGCTGTTTCTCCCTATTGAGTCCTCTCAAGGCAGAGAAACTATCCACTTCTTTCAACATCACTTCCTAGAACTGCCTCCCTCCCCACTATCACAGAGATTCAACCCAGGGTCTTCACTTTGAGCTGTCTGTCTATCTATCTATCATTCTAAGACAGGGTTGTGAACATTGCTCAGGCTGGGCTCAAACGTTCATCCCTTCCCCAGGGCTCATAAGTCTATTGCTTATTTTCTCCAACCCCTTTGATGACTCCAGACTTCACGCCACCCAAGAGAGTCAGGATAGAGATTATTCATCTCATTCTCAGAAAAGAAACTAAAGTTGAGTTCTACCTTTCACTCACTGTCTTGTAGAAAGTGAAAAATTGAGGCCCAGAGAAAGGATGCAGCTGTATATGGAAGACTGAGGTCTTCCTATTTCTAACTTTCCACTGATTTCTATATTTCACTTCCTTTTGATTTCTCAAAAGGCACTGGGACATTCTAGAGCTTTTTCCTTCTGTATAAGAAGATCAGAGCATACTACCTGTGCTCTTATCTGTATGTAGGGAAGGAGTCTAATTTCCAGGAGATCCCGCAGTGGTGGCAAAACAGGCAGGTAGAGGTGCCAAGTGCCAGCGTGTCTCATGAAAAGTTGATTTTAAGGAAGAGGAAAGGAATTTTGAGGCTGTGGAGTTTAATCCTGAGCCTCTTAGATTTTATAGGAAAAGAGAAGGTGGCTTTATAAGGCAGGAGGACAGCAAAGCAAAAGCCATGGGTGAGAGACTGGCAGGATTGAAGGGGCAGGTGAGAGGCCAGAGCTTAATAAGGATAGGCTCAGAATTCATGGCATTAGTGCTCTTGGAAGGGTGCTTAGCAGCCAAGGGGTGTGGCTGAATTATAACCAGAATCCAGGACCCCCAGATGTACTTATGCCAAAGGAAAAGCAGTGGTTAGGGATGCAGCAAAGGTGTGGAGAACTGCTGGACACAAAAAGAGGGAGGAGGGGCCGCCCTCTGCCTACCTTTAGCTCCTGCACTGAGAGCTCCTGGCCCAGCTCCCTAGCGCTGTGCATGATGAGGCTGAGGGGGTCACCTGGCTCTGCTGCTTTGTCCTCACGAAGCTTCGCAGCAATGGCCTCCTCCAGGTGCTGATGCAACTGGTCCCTGGCCCGGATGCCCTGATGCACAAGAAGAGAAGGCAGATGGGGCAGACAGGCTCAGGGCCACGCTTGGTCACCTGCTTCAAAATTTTCTCAGGACCACACCCGTTCTGCTCCACTCAGTTAACTCCTGTTGTTCATCTCTTAGCTTAGTGGCATGCCTGGCACATAGTAACGCTCATTAAATGGTCAGGAATTTGTCCACTGTCAGAAAATATTTTGTCTAGCTTTTCATAGTCCCCTTTGAACAAGGCAGACAGTCACTGTCATCTTGGGGGAAGGAAACTGAAGCTCAGAGGGGTCAAGAGATTATTCAGAGTCACATAGCTGTCAGTGCCCAGCCTGGTACAGGGCTTCATCAGGGTAGAGTCACAAGGTAAGGCTGTGCTCTTTCTCTACACAGTCTTAGACTGGGACACCACACACCAGTGCAGAGAAGGGATATCCAGGAAAGCTCTGACTTAGAGGACATAGTTGGCTGCTCTAAGTATCAGCCTCTGTATGGGGTGAAGAGAGGGGATGAAAAAGGTTGGGATCCCCTTCCAGGATTCTAGCCACAAGCACATGAAAAACATTTTCCTGGGAAAATACTTAAATTGAGCAAGTGAGTTTTGTAGCCAGAAATATTCAGATCCTGTATTTCCCCCAACTGGCTGTGTGATCTTGGTTAAATCATTTATCCTCAGCCAAACCTCTTTTGTCAATAAAATGAGAGTAATAACATTTTGCAGGCTACAAAACACAAACTAGAAAGTGTATCCAAGGTGATAATATACATGACCCTCAACAATGTATCTATTATTTTTATTCAGGTGGCTAAAATCCAGGGAATCTATACAATGATAAGTCCCAGGGTATCAGGTGATGTGTATAATCCCTGCACTGGGTGCCTGAGGCAGGAGGACTACAATCTCAAACCCAGTTCAGGGAACTAAGTAATGTAGAAAGACTGTCTCAGAAAGAAAAAAAAGCTGAGGATGTAGCTCCTACAAAGACCTTGGGTTCAACTTCCACTGCAGGAAGAGGAAAGGAGCAAGTCTCAGGGATGGGAAGAGGGAAGGGGGGGGGGGGCTCCTGATGCTCACTGAGTTTGAAGTCTGTAGATTGATCCAGAAATTAAAGGGCCCAGGGCCCCAGCCAAACAGCCCCCCAACCATGACTGGCTTGGACTGACTGAGTTGTGGGGTGTGTCTGAGGCTGTTCTGAAAAAGGGGTTGAAGGACTGGGTACGGAGGTGTCGCTCTGGCAAGGACTGACCGACTAATGAGACATCCACCATTCAGACCTTCTTCACTCAGACAGAAAATGAGAACAAAGCGGCTCTGGCGCCCATCACCACACCACATCACCTTTCCACGCTGGTCCGTGCCTCCGTCTTCCGGCAGGCTGATGAGTGCACTGCTCCTAAGAGCACCTTATCTCAATTGGGAGACCCGCACTGCAAGGCAGAGCCACAAGCGTAAGTTCTGCGGCAGTACCTTGCGCAAGCCGCTGAAGGGTACATCCAAGGGCAGCGAGAAGAGATTCTCCACCAGTTGCTCGAAGGTCCGGGCCAGGTCGGCGCACCGTGCCTCATCCAGTCGCAAACCCAGTAGGATGCGCGCGGCCATGCGGAAGGTGAGCGCCTTAGCAGCCTCATAGACAGCTACTGGTCCTGCAGCAGCGCACCAGGAGCGAACCTCATGCCGCAGCGCCCCCTGCAGGCGCGGTATGTAACGCTCCAGTGCGGTGCGGTTGAACAGGCGCGCAAGGACCTGTGGGGAGCTTCCGGATCAGCGCTGGTGGCAGGGAGCCTGCCCTGCTTCGCGACTCCAGAGGAGCCATAAGGTCAATTCTGGGCCCTTCCTCTCCTTAGCGACATGCCTCTAAGTTTGCTGGCTTTTGCTCTCTCCTTCCTTCTAGTTCTACTATGATGTACACAATCCCTCCCAACCATCCAGGCTCCAGTTGCTACTTCCCCTACGAAGTCTTCCCTGACATGTCTAGATCTGCGTCTCCAGCGCTTCTGATGTCACAGTCATAGAAGACCAGAAATAAAAGGTGCTGACAGGCCAGTCTTGGCTTTGGAATTCAAACATGGAGGATATAAGGGACTGGCGCAAAGCCACCTGCTCTTAAGGGGGGGGGGACTCAGTTGGGATTTGCAATATATCTCAACATCTGGCTCCGCCCTTGCGCACAGCGAGTGCCTGGGACCGAGGACCCTGTTTTCCCAGGGCCCGCTCACCTTGCGCCGCTGCCGGTGTGGCTCACCAACCGCCCCCAGCAGTGTGTTGGAGCCTAGCAGGATGTGCGCGCTCTGGGGCCACTGACTGCGCACCAAGCGGTGTTCACCTAGCAGGATGATGCGAACGTTCTCAGCTCCGCTCACTCGGATCACCGGCCTGCCCAGTAGGTGCGTCTTGAAAACTGTGCCATAGCGCTCCCGGCGGGAACTGTGGAAGCGCGAACCCTGTAGGCGAGGTGGAGCTCGGAGCGCTGGAGTATCACCCAGGGGGAGGAGGGTGGGGCCTGGCGCAGGCCTCCTAATTGCCACTGGGTAACAATTACCTGCTTCAGGCTGGCGCATTACTTTTTACAGAATAAGGTGCTAAATAGGCCTTGCAAGCTTACAGAATGTAGATACTCTCCTTCTTGTAGGTAAACTGAGGAAATCGAAGTTCAGAATGGGGGCGGCAAGGATTCAAGGCTGATTCTAGGCTTGCAAGACACACTCCTGAAACCCTTCCCAGAGCTCAACTCAGTTTACTCCTGCGTGAAGGTCACGTCTAAATATCTGGGGAGAACTGCGGTGACATGAAGTAGTCTTTTTGGGATCAGAGTAGCTAGGCAAAGGCAAAGATTGTGAGTGGTCCCCAGAGTACCGGACAATTGGGAAGGGACTGGTTAGAAGCCCGGTAGTGTTTGGAATGAGGTTACAGCGAGAGCCACGCAAGAAGGGGCCGTGTCATATTGCTGGAAACGATGAACTGCTCACCTGAACCAACCAGTGCAGCGTTTCGCCGAAGAAGGGCCAACCCATGGAGCCCTTGGGCAGGGGCAAGGCAGAAGCCGGGTCCCGGCTCAGCGTCCAGCGGAGAGTCCAGAAGTGCTGAGCCAGGCCAAGCAGCAGGCCGGCACACAGCAGAGCGACGCCTGCCGCCCCCAGCAGCGACAGGCAGCTCAGCCCCCAGGAAAACATGATGAGTCTGCGGGGGAGGGGAGCCTAGGCCACTCAGAGGGCAGAGGTGCGAGTACTGGGATGCAAGCGACACGCAGACCTCACCTGTTCCCTGTGAAAGGACCCGCGGCTTGGGGGGCGAAATTCCGTTTCCAAAAGCAGACTGGCAATGGAAGGCGGCCATCCAGTGCGCCCTTGAGAGCATGCTTTTCACAAGCTCCACGCACTCAAGAGTATTTTCCAGGTTCCCAGTCCGTCTCACACCCAGCACCCGCAGGTTACTCCCACTCCTCCCTGATCAGGCCAGTGATCCAAGCTAGAAGCCCAGAGGAAAGGCAAAGCGAGGTGCAACTCACCAATGTTGCGCACTATGGCTGAGCTCGCAGGGCAGCAGACCTCCTCCACTCTTAACTGCGTTCTCGGCCTGCCCTGGACACATTTATATAGGTATCGCTCCCCCCTTATGGACTGATCCCGGTTCACACATCGTGACGCGCCTACGCATATTTAAAGCACTCCGTTCAGGGTAACGATTGGAGAGAGCGGGTAGCAGTCGTTCTGAGGGGCTGTGAGTAGGGAGTGGCCCCTGGGCAGGGGGCAGAGCCCCGCACGCATCCTCAGGCGGGGCTTGTAATTCTGAGCCACAACTTTCGGACTGTGTTAACTCCAGGAGTGAGTGAAGTCTGAGGTTTAAGCCCGCAGCTTGCGCCCTGCGACAGCGCTCCTAGTTCATCCTTAGCGTCAGGCTTTTCTGGGATCTCCACCCTCGAGCTTCTAGACGCCCTCCTCCTGGCCACTCCAAGATTAAAGGGCTAGAGTCGCTCCCCTTGGCTCCGTCTCTTTCGCAGAAACGGGATCATCCACTCCGCTGGCATGTCCAAAGCTCCTAAGTGATAGCTGGGGCCCTGGATCTCTGATCTGACACTTTAGGAATCCTTCGAGAGATTTCATTCCTGCCATAGCTTTTACAAAGAAGCCCAAAGCCTTTGTGAAGCACGTATGCCCGGGAGCCTCTCAGGTCGAAAGGACTAAATTCTTCTCCTTTTCCCTCCCTCTCCCAAAACCACCCTAAGATACTTAGTCTCTGTGAATGTGTTTAGGGCTTTGTGTCCCACTTTAAAGCTCAAATGCCCCAGGTCTCCTGCAGCGTCACAGTTCACGGAGTGTGGCTGGATCCCAAGTACCCTAGAAGGCTGGGTAAGTGAGGCACAGCCCCCTTCCAAGTCTTCAAAGACAGAGCTACCTGTCTCTCAAAGTCCAGATTTTATTGTGTCTGAAGAGTCACCAGGTTTTTGTGTGTAATGTTTTTTTAAAACTTTAGGATGAAGAACATGCTTTTTGTTCTGTTTGGCGCCACTCTCATTTCAATAATTAGGGAATAATATGCCTTTTCTGAAATTTTAAATCAGGAAACTTTGAGTAGACAAAATAATGGATTTCAACAACTTGCTCAATCTTTAATATTTCATCACAAAATCGAGATGTAAACATAGTTCTTGACACTTGCTTTACAGAGTCAGGTATAGTTTTCTTACAGGTATAAATCCTGGAGACGCAAAAGGAGTATTCAGCATAAATACAGCATGAGGAAATAAAGGTCAGATTTAAAGATTTACATTGCCATTTGGATCACCTCAACTTACACAAAGAAAAACATGTATTTCTTTTAGATTTTCCACTCTTCCAGCTGGTTTTGTCTGTTTCCACAGTGAGGCTAGAGTAGTGAGATCTACTGTTGGAAGAAAGTAACCTGAGTCCTGTGGTAGCTGATGTGTGCAGGAAGGGTTACCATGTACTCCAGTCCCAGCTGCACCTGCAGCAGTTAGCCCCCATTAACTTTTCTTTCCTAACTTGAACCAAACCAAACCAATCTAGACTGGGGTTAACTATAAGCAATAGAGAAGACACATCAACTCTGAAGAGCAGAAACAACACTGCACCCTTAGAAAATCCAAAACATTTCCTTCATATTCAGAACGTTTAAACTAAACCACCAAGTAGAATAAATAATTTACATTCTTACTGAGTTAGGTTTGATTTCAAGGAGTCTTAAAGATGTGTATATTTCCCCTTTAGAATGGGCAGAATTAAATTTTTTAGCCTAACTAAATCACACGGAGGTGAAAATAAAAGCTAAATCAGAAAATGACTGTGAAATACTGCTGTACCAGACATGATTGCATTCCAAAACTGTACTTAAAAAAACACACATCATTCAAGTTTAAACAGAAAAAAATATTTATAAGTTGAGGCTTAAGTTTTTCTAATGTATTTGCAATCAGTTTCATATACAATTTTTGACTTGATTTATGTATTACAGTTTTGCCTTATTTCCTCTAAAATTGAAAAGTCAATTTTTCCATATATAAAATAATATTCAATTATTTAAAAATCCATATAAATGATATTTATTATAATTTCTTGTTTAAGCCCTCATCAGTGTGTTCTCAGTGCTGCATTTTTAAATTCTGTAAACAAAGTACTGTATCATGACCCATGCTTGTTAGAGACCAGTGCTCAGTCATGGGCATCTGGAGTCACTGAGTGCAAACAATGTGAAGTCTACGTGTGCTGGGACATACCATTCACCAAACTTCTCAGCTGCTTTACGACCGTCTCTATCAGCTTCTGCTTGTCTCGGTCATTCTTTCTGAACTGAGCAAATATATTGTTCTTTTTGTTAGTATCCTTCATCCTAGAAACATGTGAATGAAGAAGCTTAGCAGAAGGAAATAAAAACCTATGGCTGTCACAAGTACAATATCTTGGCGTTTCTGAATTATCTCATACTAAATCCCACACTTGAAAAAATACACTTCAAAGGAAATAGGTCCTTATAAACTCACAGATACAGAAATCATGCAAAATTAGCATTTCATTTTGCATTTGACACAAAGTGGTAGTTTTGCATTGGTATATAAATCTAAAATACTTTATTTTCAAATATACTGTTTTCAAATATTATACTGTTCTAATATCATTCCATTAAATATATTAAAATATCCATATAGATTCTGTAAATCACATTCATATTAAGACAAAGTGAAAGAAAAAATAGCATTAGAAATTTAAAACAGCAATGTTTTTGCCTCAGTAGTGTTCTGTGACAAGGTAAAATAAAATTTATATTTCTTAAACAGTTCCTTAGTTTCTTCAAATCAAATATACCACAGGTACTTTGAAATGTGAAAATATATTTTAATTTAAAAATTAAAAATTTTAAGTGATGCTTAAAATATGATTGAATGAAGAGAAAATCTCAATCGGTTTAGCTGGGTAAAAATGCATTAGTAAACCCTGTGACCTCAATTTTCAAAATACTGTATTTTTAAATTTTTCTACTTGTCAAGAATCCATGATTTAAATATCACTATCAGTAAATAGTTCAATTCCTAGCCATATTTTACAAAGTATCTTCTTCCGTATAGTATAAGGGTGTTTTGTTTTGTTTTGCTTTGATAGCTCCAGGTTCCAGCTGTCACTTATATATTCAGTAAACATATTTTTCTTTTTCTTTTCTGGTACATGCCAATCAAGTGCTCTAACACTGAGGAGCCACATCCACAGCATTCCAGTAAACATCCTTCTCAGGCCAATTAAGCCTACAATGTAGGACATGACAGGGAAATGTTTTGTTTCATCAACATAAACAGTAACTGCATAGGTAACAATACCAATTTTAAAGGGCAAGAAAGGCTTATTTTTAAGTCTTAAAATAGGCTGAGCTATTAACCTCTATCTACACATTTCTTTTCATGGAAATTTCTAGTTTTTCATTTGTCACTCAATCAAAGCCTGTAAGATGCTATACAAAAATGTTTTCAAAATATACTCACTTCTCCAAAAGAGTAAGGGCTGTGTTTGGATTCACTCTAAGGTACTTAGAAGCAGGCTGTCCATAATCAGCTAGATAAGTAGACCAGTCCCAAACCATAAATAGATCAAGGAGCTGAGGAAGACGGAGGAAAATTTACATTAAATTTTGATCATTTACTCAAATGTAAGTCAAATATATGCTCTTCTTGGCCATTTTAATATGACTTGCTTCTTAGATCAAATGGAATAAGGAAAATTTAAGAACTCTATTAACTGTACTTTATAGCTAAAATAGCATACATTATGTCTTTAAAATAGTAAAATTATCAATAGCTGCTTTTCAATAAAATATTTTTTGGCATTTGAAATAATTATAAATAATGAAAACTCTGGTATTATATGAATTATGTAACTTTTACGGATGTTTGGAGATTTTTATCTTTATATACTATTCAGCTGTGCTATTAGTAAGAATTGGTGCTATTTAAAAGATCTTTTTTGCACTGTTTACCTTTCCAGGAAGCTGTTTACACCTAGACTTTTCTAAAGTAATTTAAACCAAAAGCTCAGATAATCTCCATTAGGTGCATTAA